GTTTACTTAGTAAAAAGTTGAGAAATAATTAAATGTTTTTTTGTAGTTTTGGTATAAGTGATCTACGGAAAGAGTTATCTTATTTTTTTTCATTTTGGTTAGTTATTAGTAACCCCTATTTATTATTTGTTTTAGAACTTTCTATGTCTTATGGTTATTACTATCCAAATTGGATTTGTTTATATGTCTGTCATTACACATGTCTGTTTGTTTATCTATTTATATATTGCTGTAATCTACAGATCGATGTTTTCAGATTACAGAGAGTGTCCCAAATTTCATTTTTTCAAATATCGATTGAGATATTTCTTTTTCTATCTTTTCTACAAGTTTTTTAGTTTTTTATTTTTATTTCTTGTTATATCTTTTTTTACAAGCTCTATCTTTTTCTTTAAGCCTATAAAGTTGGTTTTTGATAACTATTTTTTAGCAAACTTCTAAAATATTTTTCTACAGTTTTGTGTACAAGTAATTAGCAAGAAGAGTTCTAATGATTCTTTTTTTTCTTTTTTCATTTCTTGTTTTAAACTTTTTATTATTAATCCTTATATTTTTGTATTTTTTTATATAAATGTTTTTTATTTTTTTTGCTTTTTTATAAAAAAATATTATTAAATTAGTAATGATTAAATACATATTTAGATCATCTTTTTTCTTAGAAAATTAAGTAACTAGTGCAAACAGATTACTTGTAAATGCTTATAAAAGTAACTGCAAGATGTTGGCTTAATGCATTAAATCTAAAAATGGTTTAATATAAGAACTTAATATCTTAATAAAAAGAAATAACATGACTACCAAAGTTAAAAAAAATTACCATTTTTAAAAAATATTAATTTGGCCAGAGTTTGAAATTTGAGCATAAACAAACTCAAACTATAATAGTTTAAAATTTGGCTAGCAAGTATATCTCTAGATAAATAATTTTTTATATTATATATTTTGCATAGTAACTGTTAAAGCATTACTAAAAATAGAAATAATCTTAATTTTTATTTTTTTATTTGTAAAATGTTAAAAAGTACTCTAAATTGATAAATACAATTGTAAGTAAGCCTATAATAATTTATCATGGTAACTTACTACCCACTAACAACCCTGGCCATGGTTTCATTAGTAAAATTTTGAGTGCTCGGCAAAATTAATCAACGCCGGCCCATAATTCGGGCCGATCTGCTGAATTTTGATTGCGCCGCTAATCTATTCTCCAAATTAAACTGGGGTAAAATCACCACCCTAAAAAGTTTCAAGACCAATCAAATCTCAAGATTAGGTGTAACGTAACACGAATAGAAAAATTCAAAAACAAACGTTCGTTTTGTCAAAAAACGCTTATAACCCAAAATTTCGTCTATGAAACTGTCTTCTGCGCATTAATTAAAAGTTTTCCTTGCGAAATTTTGCTACAGTAAATGATTTTAGACACCAATCTAATGACAAAATCCAACCCTAACTTAAAAAAACGAAATTTTACTTGAAACTTTTTAGGGTGGTGATTCTACCCTTGTCTCCAAGTCTCCAAATTACTACAGACTGTCTTTGGAATCACTGAAGAAAATGACTTTACTGGATAATGGCACTTCAGAGATAATTAACCCTGATACGTATTTTCAAACCCACACACCATCGCGAACGTTAATTGAGGATGAAATTCGAGTTAAAGAATTTGTAAATAAACATCACGAAGCTGGTAGAAAGATAGTTTTAGTTACGGTAGGTCCAAAAAAGACAGGTTACGAAAATTCAAATGTCTTTACTAATTTGCTTTACGCATATTCAAATACGTAAGAGTGGAGGGACTACAGTTCCACTTGAGAATAATACAGTGAGATTTATTGACAATTTCAGCGCCGGGACTCGTGGTGCTACTTCTGCTGAATATCCTTTTATCATTTCTGTTGTTTGGATTTGCGTTTAAAATTTTTTTCTATTATCATTATATCACAAAATACGTACTTTCTTGAAATGGGATACGCAGTAATATTCATGCATAGACAATTTAGTTTACAACCTTATAGCAGACATTATACACATTCTACAAATTGTTTCTTGGATTTTATGGAACTGAAAAGTGATGGAAGTATTGGAGGTAATAGATTTATCAATGAAACATATAAATATCGACTCTTTTATATAGAGACCTGTTAATGCCACTCCCTATATGACTCTAATTGACCTTTAACACTATAAACAATAACGCTTACCCTAACTGCTAACTAATCAATCACATGAATTTGTGCTGTTGGTAGACCTTTAGAGTCGGTTAGGGTTATATATGGGGTGGCATTAACAAAAGTGAGGGTGGCATTAACAGCTCTCCTTATGATCCTTATTTATTATTAGTTAATTCCAAATATGCTTCAAAAATGAAATTTGTTTTAGAAAAATATCAAGAGGTAATTAAATTTTATTGAATATTATATTATTATTTGTGATGATGATCCAGTTCCCTTATTTTTTTTCTTCTTTATACATTTACAATGCGAAAGTTCAAAAAGAATGAAACTCTTTTACTACTTAATTTTGTTACTGTGACAGATTATCTTTTTCTTCTTCGTAGTGTTACAAATATTATGTCTGTTTTAAAAGAAAATGCTATGTATTATCTTGCGGCAGCTGTTAGTGACTTTTTTATTCCAGCCCAAAAAATGGTAAATCACTTAATTAATTTGTTATTAACTATTACAGTTTTATTTATTTATTTATTTATTTTTAAAAAAGAATTCATGATGTTTGTTACATTTAGTCTCAACACAAAATTCAATCAGATGGAGGATTGACTCTAACGATGGATCAAGTGCCAAAATTTTTGAAACCAATGGTTACGAATTGGGTTCCTGGTGGATTTATCGTTTCATTTAAGGTTAAAAAATTTTTGTACCATTAAGATTGTTATATCAAAAAAATTTTTGACTCATAAATCAACAACCATAAACTGATATTTTTTACTTATTTCAGTTGGAGACGGATCCCGCGCTTTTAGTTGATAAATCAAGACTTGCTCTCATGCGATACGGTCATCAAATAGTTATTGCAAACCTACTTACTACCAGAAAACGTGAAGTTGTTCTTATTACTCAAGATTCTGAATTCCAAATTAAATTAACAGAAGATGAAATTGCCGAAGACAAGGAAATTGAATCCAAGATCATTCCTGAATTAGTGAAAAGACATTATGAATGGATTCGCAATGCAAGTCATACGGGTTTATAAACTATTTTTTTTGAAGAGGGAAGTGCTTTAGCACTTTTTTAATTATTGGTACAAGTAAATAAGACTATATTGTTAAATGCTCTTACATTAAAAATATCATTTTTGCCAACCAACTCTATTCAGATTGTGACAACGTTCCTTATTTTACATTAATCGTTCTTTTTAGTGTTTCTATGAAGTTTTTCGTGAATTAATAATTCAAAGCTAGAGCTTGTGTCCGTTATCCGTTGGATTCTGAATCCAATAGTAAAATTCGTTAAATTTAATATGAAAACGGATAATGGATCCAAGTAGGATGAAATTAAAAAAGTTCATATTTCATGCATTTTATGTCATATCATTGTCATGAGCAGGTTATTTCAGAAGATCTAGTATCAAATTTTTTTTTTATTTTTCTGTTTTTTTTTTTTTGGTAAAACTTAATAATTGGTTTTTTAAATATAGAACATATATTGAAAATAATTTCTTTAAAGACAATTTTTTAACATACATATTGTTAAGAGGTACAAAAAAAGAATAGATTAAATATGTTAAATAAATTCTTGAAAAAAACAAATATATAAAATTAATTTAAAATATTTTTAAAAAGAAAAATTATTAGATTGAAATTGATTTTTATTGTAAATACAGTAAAAATATAATAATTAAAAGAATTAGTAGAAAAGAAGAAGAATAGTTTAGAGGTGTGGTAATCTAGTAAAGTGAATAGGTTGTTAACTTCCAAGTGGCAGGTCTAAAGTTCAAATTACAGTAATAGTAAAAATTTGCAATTCTTTTTGTGTTATGATTAACTGTCTTTCATGATTGGTTGGAATTAAATATTTGTAACTTGTATTATACCAGCATGACTAGAAGGTCTAGGCACTTATACAACATTGTATAAAGAAACACAAATCAGTATCAGGTAATATGAATTCAAGATAAGTTCTTAGACTATATAAATCATAGAAACCAGGTAGAAAGAGAGAAGCTTACTTAGAAGATCTAATTAAAGAAGTAACCTAAATTTTCAACAATATTATTGTAAAGATTAGACCTATGAAATAAAATTAGAACTTGTAAAACTGAGTAAATGTGTTGGTCTTTAAGGAGGAACCAAATGAACCAATCACACTATCAGAATTTTTAGATTTTGAAAAAAAAGAATACATGTTGACAAATATGTAAATCAAAGATATGGTTATAACCTATCTTTTTAGGTTATCTGAAATAACAGTTTGGTAGAACTTGAATTAAATACCAAAGTAATAGGAATATGTTGTAAAGTCAGTATCAGGGTTGGAGTAAACTTTACAAGAGCATAGCAGTTTAATAGTATGCCCTAATCATCAATATTGGTCTTAGTTATAATAATATTAGATTAGTTGTAAGAATAGAATACAGAAGATTCTAAAAGATTTAGTATAAGATTAAAGATTTCAAAGAACTACTTTAAAGACTTAATGGCTATAACATATTTTTATTACTATTAGTCAGGATCATTAATAGGCAGAGGTAAGTAAATAAATATAGAAAATAGAATGATTAAATAGAGAACCTATAAGCAGGTTCTAGATATAGCAGTTAGTGTAAAACCTTCAGGTAGATTACTTAAATTAGACAATAACTAAAGTTGTATAAATGATTAGTTGTTTACTCTTTTTATGATTGCCTTTTGTGGTTATAATACAACTATTAGCCAAATATATTATCAATAAAATTCTGAATTACAAGTATTCACCTTAATATTTAAAAAAAAAAAAGTTTAAATTTATTTTAAAAAAAAACAAAAAATACAAATATTAAAAAAAATCAAAATATATATGTAAATAAATATTAAAAAAATGCAATTAAATATAAAGAAAATAAAAAAATAAACAAGATCTATTTATTACAAATAAAAAAACAAATAATGTTAACTATCTAATAATTTGAAACTTATTAATAGATATAAATAAAAAGTATATTTATAAAAAAAAAAAAAAAATTCTTGAGGATAGCGATTCTAATATAGTGGTTGAGTTGTCATCTTTCAAGTGACAGGTCTAAGGTTCAAATCCCACCTATGATGAAATTTGAAAATTAACCTGTGTTATGACAAACTGTCTCTTGATGATCGGTTGGATTTGTGTATCTGTAATCTTAAGTTGCACCATCTCAAATGGGATCTTGGGCATCTATGTCAAGTGTAATATTACATGTATATAGAGGAATGTTAATAATCGGTGTCATATAAGACTTTGGTACAAACCTATAATAAGACTACCGAGTGCAGTAAACTAAGAAACCAAAGAGTCAGAAGTCTACTTGGAAATTCCCAAGTAAAGAGGTAGCATGAAATTTTGATAGTACAGTCAGATCGATAGAAGCCCATGAAACACCTCTAAAGGGATAGGCAGGTAAACCAGATGTCAAGATATGTAGAGGAGCATATGACCAACCAGGCTGCCAGAATCACTGAAGGAAAAGGATACATAAGTATACTATACTGAGCTATCTGGATTGGAAGTCGGAGGAGTCCTGTCAGTTCTGAGTAGTGGTTAGTAAAAGATGATAGAGAAGACGTTGTGATGATAGGTACTGGGGTTCTAGTAAACTTTACAAGAGTAGAAATAGTGTAACATAGCAGTTAAACAGGTAACCCCTGTGACTGCAAGTGTTAGGTAACTAT